GGATTAATAAAATAATAAGAGGAACCTAACCCTTGCCCAACCCTACTCCCCTTTTGAATTTCTTACCTCATTTTGTGTTTCTTATCCTATTTATTTAAATTATTTACCCCCTTTGGTGTATCTTATACCTATTTTCCTCTTTGGGTGTCTTACACCCCTCTTGTGTATCTCTTACAATCCCCTTGTGTGTCTCTTACTCCCACCATTTTTTTGTCTCTTATTTTTCCCTAGCCCCTTTATGTATCTCTTACCTTATTCCCTCCAGCCCCTTTGTTTGTCTCTTACCTTCTCCCCAGTCCCTTTATGTGTCTCTTACCTTATTCCATCCAGCCCCTTTGTAGGTCTCTTATTTTCTTTCAGCCCCTTTATGTGTCTCTTACATTAGCCCCTCCAGCCTCTTTGTGTGTCTCTTATTTCCCCCCCAGTCACTTTGTGTGTCTCTTACTTCCCAGTCCCTATTTGTGTCTTTCTCCCCCACCAGGCCCTTTGTGTGTCTTCTTTCCCCTTACCAAGCGTCACACCCCTCAGTTCCTTTTGTGTGTCTTACTCCCCTTCCCCAGCCCGTCTGTGTATCTTCCCCCTCATACCATGTCTCTTTCTCCCCATGTCTTATAAGGCCTTATGGTTGCTGCGGCCCTGACTATCACTCCCATCATATTAGCAATGAAATGGGGATTGTTAAAATGAATAGTCCTTGCCAGTAGGTGGGAAGTATAATACTAAAATATATTGTGTCTAAACTTTGTGTTCCCAGAGAACAATGCTGAGGATTTCAGCAGTTTGGTAGATGGGCTGAGTCTGTTGGACAATCATGAGGTATTGTTTTGACACCTTGCGGTGTCCTTCTCAAGCCATCTCTGAATTTTCCAACCAATTACAAAAATTTAAATGTGAAAATAAACCTCATCCTGTAACTTAAAACAGCACTATCACTTTGCAGGTTTTGTTTTCAAGTGAACCTTTTCATCTTTATTTCCTCTTGTTTTTTTTTTTGTTTTTTTTTACATTTACTTTTGTTTTTTAATTTAGATAGGAAAAGAACAGGCTGTTTTCTTTTTATGGCAATCTTTGGAGATTTCAAAGATTAAAAGACCACTCCACAACCCAAAAGCACTTCAGAATGCCAAAGTTCTTTATGGGTAAGGAGTAGCCTAGTTTTACCTCAGTTTATAAAAGTGCTGATTTCAGCACTTTTATAAATTTGCTAGGGAACACCCTCCTGGCTATCAATCAAACAGCCAGGGAGGTTTGCAGACTGCTTCTGTTAGCTCCCCTCAGGGCCACCATCAGGGCATGACAACCATAACGGTTGTCATGGGCCCGGCGGTCCTGGGGGGCCCGGACTGCTCAGGTCGTCCGGGCCCCACATTAAGTGGTGTACATACCGGGTCGCAGGGGGCCCTGCGACCCGGTATGTACCCACTGTGGCCAACCTCTTCTCCTGGGGGGCCCAGCAGCCGGTCACCTCAGGGCCCCCCAGAGGCTGGCCATGGTGTCACCCGGCGGGCGGGCGGGCGCGCGAGGGAGCACTCTCCCTGGCTGAGTGCTTCCTCTTCAGCTCCCTCGCGCACCGCACTGATGCCTGAGCCGGAAGATGACGTCATCTTCCGGCGCCGGCATCAGTACGAGGTGCGCCGAGGGAGCTGAAGAGGAAGCACTCAGCCAGGGAGAGTGCTCCCTCGCACGCCCGCCCGCAGGACCGGCCGCCGGGTTACACCACTGGACCCCAGGGAATCCCCTCAGCACTCCTACAGGC